AAGACGTATTAGGTTCCAGTAGCTATCAAATATTAATTCTATGGTTGGGAGGGGATTTTTACCAGAATTTGTACCCCCTTTCCATACCATTAAAACCAGTTAGAAATTGGATTCTGTTGCCAAGAGGAATAGATTCTAACTCGCAGCCATGGAAGATGCAAGATGGGCTTGAATACTGTGATTCCCCTGCAGATGTGATACAGAACATATTGAGCAATGTCAGACATCCAAAATTACTCCTGCTCAGGCTTCAAGGAACACACTTTGTAACTGCTAATTAGCTAAGAAGATACCTTGCAAGCTGGTAGGTGGTTGAGAGCCACAGACTAACAATTTCAGCTCAGTTGTTTGCAGGATGTGCGTATGTGTGAGGGAGAGCGCGTTACTCTCATAACTGAAACACTGGATTTCTATTTCCCCATGCATTTTTAATGTGCTTACAGAGTTTCATGGAACAGAACTCCTCGGGCAGGGCTGGGGGCGCAGCAAAGCCGTCTGTGTTTGGGTTATTGCCTGGTTACAGCCAGGCCCTCGTGCAGCTGGGCAGTCGGTGCAGTCCTGCTGCCGCTCTGCCGAGGCTCTCACCGTACAGTTGCAGCAGGGGGGCTAGAGCTCTCTTAGCTCTTCGCACAGCTGCTGCTCCCTGATCAAGGTGACTGGCCATCGCAGAGGTAGGTGGCCTCTTCAGAAACAGAAACGTGGGGCTGTTTTTGCGTGGGTGCTGGCAGGCTGAAGCCTGCACAGGGGGCCGTGCTGCGAGCGGCCCTGCTGCAGGGATACCCCCAAAGCGGGAGCAGGCGCCGCGGGCAGGAGGTGCGGGGGGACGGGCGTCCAGGGCCACGGGAAGCTTCTCAAACGTGCAAGCTCCTTCATCAGAATATGGAAACAGGGATGCAGGTCCAGGAAATGCACCTCTGAAGCTCCCTGGAGAGCATCAAGGTGGAACTGTGACTTCTTGCTGAAATTTCAACAGAGCTTCTTCATTTTTAGTGTGACTTATCTTTCAGAAGAGCAAATATATAAGACTCTGTGAAAGGTGGCCACCTCTGCTATTTCCAGAAGGTGCTGGTGCTCCAGCAGGGCTCCGGACAAAAGCAGAATCTCTTGAACAGCTTCTTTAAGTCACTCATTCAGCTCGGAGAGGCACCAGAGCTTGCTGGTTGTAGACTGCACTCTTCTAGGCGGGAAGACTCTCATATCCATTTTAGCGCAAATTGTTGGTCTGATTTATCCCTGCTGTAACTCCACTGAGTTCAGCCAAGCTTATGAGTCACGAATTTAGCTCTTAGCTTTCTCAATGGAGAATACCTTTTTCCTTCCATGCTGCTCCAGTGAACTTCTCAATCTACCCGCACAGATCCTGCTCCAGCAAAGCGTGTAAGCAAATACATATGGGAGGTACATAAGAAGCAGCCGTGAGAGGAACTGGACTACTTCCATACTTAACCATACAGTCCATCTCATTAATCTGCTGTCCCGTTCATATTACTCAGCAGGAGATGGAAGGTTCCTTTCCTTGGGAAGACTCCCACTGGCTTCCCGACAAGCTGAATTCTGCCACGGGAGTGGCTTGTCTTGTTGGCAACGGGAAAGAATGGGATGATGAGATAGCAACTCCATTACTCCTATAATAAACATGTCTACCACTTTAATATTTACTAGCAATTTTACCAGAAATCAGTGACATGTCTGCTCCTGAGCCCTGCCCTACAACCTTGCTATTTAGCAGCAAAAATTCCTTTACTCTCTTGTCCTTTCTCTCATGTCCTTCTTTCAGGGCGTTCTTGATATACCTCATCTGATGAGTCAACTCGCATCTTCTTAAGACTCTGCTAAGCAGAATCTATTGAAGCCTCTTTCTATTCCCACCTTGTCCGTCTCCCTCCTTAGCAAATTTCCAGTCTCGGGGAAGCTTAAATGATAGCATCTTTAAATCCAGAATGGCAGCAAGGGGTTACAGAAAAAGCCACTCTCCTCAAACACTAATCAAGAGGTTTTATTTAAAAACAGAAGGCCTAGTCTCCCCCCTATCTTCTCTCTTTGCTCACAGCAAACTGCCTGCCTAGGAGCGCATGCAGCTCTATTCAGTAAATTCTTGTCAGTCTTCAAAGGTTTGCTAACGTCTGCTTTAAAAATTGAGGGTATTCCTTCCCTTATAACTCCTCTCTCTTCCCTTTAAGGAGCCAGTCAGCACCTGTTGGGTCATAAAAAAAACATAGTGAAACACAGTACACCTGAAACAAGAAGAAATTTCTCCAAGGCAAAGAGATTGTACATTCCAGTGAAGGGCCATCAAGCTGCTAATGCAAAACTAATTTTCTGGAGGAAATTGCGGTGCCCTTGGCTGCCTAGTATTAGGGACTAACAAGGGTTAACTGTGTTTGCTCACTCTCCGTCTCACCCCCTCCTCCTTGCTGTGCATTTCTGTCAAAGACCTGCTCTCTGGCCAGCCACCACTGGGATTAGGCTGCTCTAACAGCCTGGCTGACACTCTGTGCAGGGAATAAAGTCTTGCTGTCTGGAGGAAGAACACAGGAATGCGCTTTCCAGCCCGCCAGAGGGAATTCTAGAACTCAAAGAGCAAGAATTAGAACCTTGAAGACTTCAAAATGAAACAAGTTTAAAATAAGCCCTATAAGAAACAGCCCAACAACATACCAGAACTCCTTTATTTCTTCTCCTTTTCTTGAAAGACTGCAAGGGTTTTAGTTACTATGTCTGCTCAGGAGCCATATGGAAAAATGAGTTCTGTCCTGCTAAACTGGTTGCGCAGTTTTGGTTTTCATCTGTCTACAGAGATCTGAAAAGTCTATGTTGTTTTATTTTACACTTTTTCAGCAAAGAACAAACGATCTGGGGATCATCTGGCCTGGAACAGAAGAGGTAAGCAGAGCATTTTTATGTAGCATATTTCAAGCATCTGAGAGCACGCTGTGTAACTGAGAGAAATCAGCCTTGAGGATGATGCTCTCTTTGGGATAAGCTGATTAGAGGTTGGTTGGTCGCTTGGTTTGTTTGTGCTCCTCGACAAGAAAAGCCGAGCTGTGGCATCAGTGTGGTTTGCAGGATCCTGCCATTTAAGCTGCAGAAAGTTTATTAAAAACAAACGAACAAAACACACAACTCTCTACGAAGTGCAGAGCGACTCAGATTCCACTGGCAAAGGTAAAGCAAAATACTTTGGAATTATATGTTGAATCTGTAAACTGTTGTTAGACTAAAGAATGACAGTGCCAGAGAAGACTCCGAGTCATATGGAAGCTGTATTATAAGAATACTAATACTTAAATTGATAGGATAATCATCTTTTGAACTGTTCTTTTGATTTGCTAGCATGGTGGTTTATTCTTGTATTCAGACAGATGCTAAAAATATTATAAAACCATTGAAAAAAGAAAGGGAGGGAGTAATCATGACTTGATTAGGATGTTAAATTGAATATTCAGATGATCTGGTGGTGCGAATTTTCCTAACAATCTCTCTTGTACTAAGCAATGTGTGTTACTTTGGGAAACACTGATGAAAACAGGTTTTATATGCCAGAATCTACAGAGGCATCCAATATTGTGTGTAAATGCACAGATTTCAAATGGATTTACAAAGCGCTGGTCCTCTCGTACAGGAAGACCAAAGGCAAGGGGCAGCAGCTCTGCTTTCTGCCTGCCCGTGAGCTGCCCGTCTGCCGGGACGGCGAGGAGAGGACGGGCTGCACATTTGTCCTGCCTGCTCTCGCCCATCACCAGCCAGGAAGCAGATGAACCAGGACCTTTGCTCCTTCTGACTGCTTGTAAGATGCAATGAACTGTTTTTCTCCCCGCAAAGGGCTGCTTACAGAGCTCCCTCCGCTTTCTAAATCCTTGAAATACAGCTGGTAACCGTTTTAAAGGTTGATTCCCTTTTCCTCTCCTTACGTCCCTTCCATTTCTGCACTTTCCTCACCTTTTAAAGCAGGATGTGGCACACAGAAAAAGCTGGAAGGATAAAGGATGAATAATTTCACGTAATAGGTACTATCAAAATTTTTTATCCCAACTGGATCCTTCCATCTTTATAGCCCTGTATAATATGCTCAGCACAGCTTAAGTAATAACAGCATTTTCAGAGATGATTTTTTGAATTGCCTGAGCTGCATACATTTCTTTCACAGATACTAAACTGATAATAAAGCCCTTTGGCAACAGGGTGAGGGGACATGCAAGATTTTGGTAATCTCCGGCAACAGCGACTACTACAGAGCTCTAAGAGCTCCAGTGAGGGCAGTGAGAGGGGTTGGAAATGCTGCAAGTATAAAAGCGATAGGTGATACAAGATTTCATAATGATTTATCCAGATTTATACAATAACATAACCTTCCTCCAGATGACTACACAAAGAGCTTAAAATCTGCTACAGGAAGTGTAGGTTTAGGGGTTCTTGCCCCGTATCTTGCATTTTTCATCCGATGGTATTTACCCGCTCTGAGGAATCTATCTAGATACAATTTGTTACACATACCTGTAGCCATGATGGATTTACAATCTGTGTACAAATAACAATTAGTGATCTCTGATAGAATTGCAAATATAGTGTTAGGAATATACTGACCTCATGTGAGTTGGAAAGTGGCAGATAACTGAGAATAATACAGGCTTTAAAATTAAGAAATGAACACTAGATACAAGGAAAAATATTTCATATAACTCCCCACTCATTTTGTCAGCAGTAGTTAATTTTTCAGAATTGTTTCATCCTATTGTACTTGGCTATGCTGATTTTATAAAGATTAACAGACTGCAGCAGTTTGACATTAATCTTTGCAGAGATATTTGCTGAGACAAAAACATTCCTCCATGAATTTTAAGCAATTTAGCAAGATGCAGACTGGCACTGCTCGAGTGCCTGGCTTGTTACGATTATGATAAATACCACAAAAGACACAGAAAGGGACTGTTATTTATTATTTTCTCCTTAGAATTGGCAGTTTTTGCTCACTTCTATCACCTCACTTTGAAGTGCTGAAGATGTCCTGGGCCTGGTTTTATCTGCCCCTCCGTCTCCTCATGGCTGTCGGTCTGTGCCATGCCATAAGAGCACCCACCAGTACTTTCAGGAGTGATCTCTTCAACTTCTACCATTCCCTGATCCTTGCTGATGGCAAGGAAACTACAGTTCACCTGCTGAAGGATATACCTAAAAGGTAAGAGCAAATGGCTCCCTCCCACTCTCAGCTCCATCCCTCTGACAGTGGTAACCCAAGCTACCAGCACAAAGCCAAGACCCGCTCTGAAGTCGCTGGATGTGCCGAGATGAACTGTGTCCTGTTTGCAGCTCAGGCTTCCCCCTGTGTTAGGGGCTGTCGTTATGTTGCCCTGGGACACCCCTCTCGGATTCACCTCGGCATTTCAGCCGGCTTCCTGGGTGTTCCTTGGAGGGCAGCAGCAGGGCTGACAGGGAGCTGGTGGGCTCCAACAGCCCACGTTTGTGTTGTATGCAGAGCCAGGCTTCACAGCTGCAGAGGCACGTGGGCCTAGCTGCATTCACTGAAAAACACAGGGATTTTCCCTGGCAGACTAGCTGCCCAGACTGGTTGGATACATGCACAGACTTCATATCTTTTCTTATCCAAAAAGCTTAGAGCGTACAGCGTCCTGAACTTGTTTTCATTCAATAGTGCTAAAGCTTGCTAAGCTTTAGCGCCCATGTTTCGCACACAGAAATTCTAAGGATTCTTTGCTTCACCCAAAGCTCTGCAAAGTTAGATATAGAGGTCAAAGCTAGATATAGAGGTGGCCTGTATTTTATTGCTGTGTTTCACATTAGGAATCAAAGCCTGACTGACCGTTTGGGAAGTGATACAGTTCAAGTGGTTTAGTTGGGATCCTCTTTGGACAGCAACCAACATGTACAGATTTAGACATGCACCCCAGCAGAACAGAACAGGCACAGAGCAGAGAGTGAGCCAGATGGTCCAGACCTAGCATGCATTGCACAAACAAACTGGAACATGGCACATGTTATATAATATGGGAAGGCTCAAAAGATCTAAACTAGGAGCTCTCCTAGTTAAAGGGAATTGAGTTTGGGAAAACTAAGTTATATATAAAAATATAAATTTTGCTCTATTCTTGTAGCATAACAGTAGGAGTTCAATTAGGGAGCAAAAAACCCTTCAGTTTAGACAAGCAAGAATCTGAAGAACCTCAGAGTTACCCAACTAGGAAAACAGGAGATGACAAGTTCCGGCTTCAGTTATAAGGGTGAGCACTTGAACATGAGGAACTGCTCAAGGAAGGTGAAGGCTCCATGGCCCAGCAGCTCCACCCTGACCTCAAGGATGACATAGTCTAGCCATAATGAACACACTTGTCTCACCAAGGAACAAAACCCTGAAATTCCCTCTGTTTAACAGCAGAGCGAGCTGACCAAGGCCAGACATTTCTGTGGTTGCATAGGGCTTATGTACTGAAACAGCAGGAGAAGGCAGAAGTAGAAGAGCACAGGGGTGAGGCAGGAGGCTGGGCTCTGCTGTAAACCAGCAAGAATCAGTGACTGAACAGACTGACGGCCCTTTGCTGCTGTGCTGCAGCCTCCGTCACGAAAGCCAACGTGGTGGAGCTCACCTGGCTCAAACTGCCAGACACCCACGGCCCCTCAGGGCTGGATAAAGCTATCCTGTTCTATCCATGTCATCTTACACACGTGAAGAGCTAGATATGCAGGTATATATGGCAGGAGATATGCTTTTATGGCATTCACTGAACCCCACTCAGGAAAGTCTGGTAAAACGTACCCAATTCCCCAGAGTTAGCTGGTGAGTGGTTATCCAGAAGGTAGTCAGTTTACCACATTCATCATGCAAAGTAACAGGGCAACAAGTGAGATATTAAAGCCCTGATATTCACCTAAGGTGTGTTAAAACTACAGTAAATAGGTAAAACTTTTACCTAAGGTAAATGGATAAAACTTCCACTGAACATTTGTGGATTAGAAATAAGCTGCTCTTCCTATAACTGACAATTTCCAGCTTCCACTGTCATGCTATATTAATGCACCTGGACAGGGAGCTGTCACTTTTTACCTAGTGGAGTGAACCACATCAGAACAGCCAGTGACTAGGAGTCCCCAGAAGAAATTAATATCCTTTTGCTCTCTTTTCACCCCATACTTACAGATACTATTTTGTTCTGGAGGAAGGCAGAGCCCCCGCACCTTTCACAATAACAGTGACCCCCTGCGACGTTCCCATCGAATGGAGCATACTCAGGCACAAGGCGGCTGCCAGCTTCCTTGGAAAAGCAGCACATGGTAAGACCTTCGGTCTGCTTGAGCAGGGATGGAGAAAAACCAAGTTATTCATAAGGACTTGTGTTAAAGGAAGCTCTCCACAAGGTTAAACTTTTCATGTTCCCCTCTCCAGCAAACCTGGCCACAGGCTTAATATGACCCCCGTCTCCATAGCTGAATTTCTGGTTCTGAGGAAAGGGTTGGGGGGGGGGGGGGAAAGAGAGAAAAAGAAAAAAAAAAAGTGGTGGTGAATTTTGCCATCAACTCAACTAAATTCAGGATTACACGTCAAAGTCAAAAATCTCAGGGTAACGTTTAGTAACAGAAGGTCTTTGGGTTCCCACAAACATGGATGAGATTTATTAAGTGTCAGTAATGACCCAGTCTCCCTTCTGCAATCTTGTCGAATCTCTTGGGACAAAGCTGAAATGAGAGTAGTAGTGTTATCACACTGGAAGATAGACTGCTTGTACACTGGATCTCCATGTGTAGTGTAAAACCCACTTTCTTCCTGAGGAAAGCTGCTCAGATTTTCTTTAAATGAGTTGTCAATACAAAAAGAAATTTTAGATATAATTATTATTTTCAGGAAGGAAAAGTGGATATTCCCTGACATACAAACAATAAAACCTAAGTGATGTGCTGTATTTAAGGCCCATTGAAACAAAAGTTACAAGTCTCCTCTTTACTTGCAGGTGATCATGACACCCAAGAGATTGCAAAATCTCAGAAGGCTCCAAGCACAGCATCCACAATTTTTAACTATAAAGGAAATTCTGTAGAAACCTATGTGGGTATGTCCTACTATTCTGCTCTTTACATGTTGGAGTTCTTATCCACTGAGCGAGATACACATATAACCGTGTACCTAACAACTGACACAACATCTGGCCACCTCTATCCAGAACTTCCGCTGGATCCACGTATAGATATTATTGGCATTGGCCATACAACAGTAACTTTAGCTTGGAAACACAGTCCCTCCGTCTTGCAACATAGAGAAAACATCCAGTACTGTCTTCTAGTTAATGAAAAACACAACTACAAGAGCTTGTGTGCTGCTGAGACCGCAATCAGGTCCTCTGGAATGAAGGTGCCACCTATGTTGGCTTTGTCTCTTTCCCCGTACCTGCTGGAACCCCAGCAGGTCATGATCTTGTCCAACAGTGAACTGAGCATCATCAACAGAGCGAGTAGTGGGGAAGTCAGGCAGATATGTGTGGGCACCAAGAACACTTACACAGTGCCCAGTCTCAGTGCCAGCACTCAGTACTACTTTGATGTTTTTGTCGTCAACCTCCTCACAAACGCCAGTGCTGCTTACACCGGGACGTTTGCAAGAACGCTGGAAGAACCTGAGCCAAAGCTGACCGAGTTGAAAGATGGGAAGGTGATTCAGGTGGTCCTGGATGGGAAAAAGCAGAAAGTGTACAGCCTGCAGTACCAGGCGAGGCACAAGAGAATCCAGTTCACCTTTCAGTCATGCCGTGGCCAAGTACAGGTTCACATAACAAAGAATGGCAAAACAGTGACATCAGAAAACGTTTCAGGACTGAGGTATTTTTCACTGAAAGGAAATCTACTGGACACATATTTGGTTCAGCTGAGGTCCACAGAACAGTCTAATTCTTCTGTGAAAGTTCAGGTGTCCTCCCATTTCCACAAGCCCTTATTTCCACTTTTGCCAGACAGCTTAAAAATCAAGTCCTTCAGTAAACTAAGGACCTGCAACTCTGTCACCATCGCCTGGTTAGGAACACAAGAGGAGAGCAAATACTGTGTGTACAAGAAAAGGATTGAAGAGGACCAAGTGTGGACGGAACTGCAGAGTGCAGACCGGTGCGCCGGACCCGAGTCTCGGCACAGGGCTGAGAAAGTGCTGTGCAAGTATTTCCACGACATAAACCTCCAGCGAGCCGTCACCACAGAGACCATCAAGGGGCTGGATGCAGGGACACTTTACTTGTTTGATGTTTATCTCATGGGGCCATCTGGTATCCCTATCAGGTATTACAGCAAAGTTGTAAAGACCAGGAAAAAGTGTTGAAGGTTCTTCAAGAGAAGATTTGTAGTGAGAATAAAGAATAAAATCAAAACCTATGCCAAATCCATGTCTCAGCTATATATCTTAAAATATGCTGAGGCATAAAAAAAATTCTAAAGCTGTGACATTCTGGAGAGGCATCATCATAGTTGTCATCTTAGTTGTCTTAGTTGAGATCATTATGCTTATATTTGCATCTCTCCTGTATAAGATTCTCTCAGCTGTTCCATTCAGACATCAAAAACAGCTGTGAAACAAGCCCATGAACACAATGATAAAGTACCCACAATGGGACTCATGAGAAATCAAGTGGTTACCTAAAAATGTATGAGAAATCCAATACAGAAGTGATGGGAAATACAACCCAAAGAGCACACATCATTATTTTAGAGTCCCAAAGAGTTTTCCACTTTGTGTAACTCCATCAGCTAAAGAGGAACTTAGAGACCCCATAAGTCAAGCTGGATTTCCCTGGTACGTTAACAGTTTGCAGGTAAGAAAACAAACAAACAAAAAGCTGTAGAACTGGTGTCAGCCTGGTAAAGCTTGAATAAAACAGGCTCAGATACTCCTTCCCCTATAACCTGTAAGTTTGTTTTGCTCTCAGTCCTACAAACCATTCTTGGTGAGAGATAGACAGAGTTCAAGTCAGCAGCTGCTTCTGGATCCCACTCAGGTTCAGCTGCGGGTGTATATGAACTCAGCCCTCTGGTTCTGCCCTTTGAGGAAAGGTTTGAGTTATGAATCCTGGCATGGCAGAGAGGGTTGTTCCTCCCTGGTATCCGAGATCAAACCCGTGTCTATCCCTGTGTGATTCCCAAGTGTAATAAACTCACTCTTTACATCCTTAGCCCAGCCTATATCAATGGATGTGTTCCCTTAGGAAAAAGTAAATGTGATTTTCTTATTAAATGGAGAGAAAAATACTTATTAAATGTAGTAAAAAGCTTGTCAAACATGTTTGTTTCTTGATTTCCTTGATCACCTTTTTAGATGATCAAAGAGAAAAGGCAGGAAAATTGAGAAGATTAAAAGTCTTCATCAAAACTTATGTTCAATTTCAATTATCAACAGAAAAGACTTTACAACACAGGCTCTTGGCAGGTTTGGAATTTACATATACAGAGATGTGATAGATTATATGAGGCAGAGGTTGCCAGGGAAATCTGACCTGCTGTAATTCTTCTCTGCAATTACATTAAGCAAAGATGTAGATTATTAATTCCACTATTATACATCACAGTTTATTTGCAGTGCAGGATCATGAAGGTTTCAGCTTACTTTTAGTAATTATTACCTCCAAGCATGTTTGGAGGCACCTCTAAGGACTCGGATCCCTCTGTGCTGAGCATTTCCTACACCCAGAGGAAGGCACAGTCCTGCTCCAACGTTACAGCACTGAGCTACAGGAGCAGCTTCGCGGCCCCTCCGCGGCGCATCCTGCGCATCAGGAGACGCGTTGGTCACAGCGGAGCAGCTCGGGCCTTGGCGCGGGCTCAGCCCCCC